CGGCAGTCTCGTGAGGTCTGGGACATGTGGCGCAGGCTGCTTCCATGCTGGTGGGCCACCCTGCCCGTCCAGAGCACGACGTCCCCACAGCAGGCGGCTCCCGCCGGGCCCCCCGCTGCCCTGCGGGGCCTACCTTGTGGACGCTCTTGGGGTCCTCCAGCCAGGCGTAGTACATCTCCTCCACGTAGCTGCAGCTCGTGCCGCTCAGGAAGGGCTCGGCGGCCACGGGCGCCGTGTAGCAGCGCGTCTGCCCCAGCGTCCTGGCGGCTGCCGGCCTGGCCTGGGAAAGTGTCCTGACGGTCTGGGAGGCCGTCAGCGGCCGCAGCGTAGCAGCACAAGTCCTTAGGTGGAACATTCTCGTCCTGAAGTGTCGCGGCCGCCTGCGCAGAGAAGGGAAAGGTGAAAGGGCGTCTGGCAGACGAAGCTCCTGGGGGAGCCGCAGGCTCCGTGGGGACCGACTCCGAGGGCGCGGACGCGCTGCAGGTCTCCACGGACGAGGGGAGGTCTCGTCGGAGGGATATGACCCATGACGCGATGTCAACCTGTGACCTTCCCCACGTTGACACGTGTGGGAAACGATCACAGAAACAGAAAAGGCAACAAGCTGAGCCACCGCGGTGCCGATGAGGACTCGACGCACAGTGAGAAAGGCGTCTCCTCCTTCCGGAAACCGCCCAGCACCCGCTGGACTCACATATTCTGGAGAATAAAGACAAATTGGGAAAAACTTCTCGAATAACTTATCTCTGAGCAGGAAAAAAACATTTTAGAAGATCAGAGCGAGCACCGCTGAAGGCGAGGCTGGGAGCACGGGCACAAGCAGGGACCGCGGCGAGGGGCAGGGGACAGGAACCGGGCCCACACAGCTTCAGACGGAAAGCCCTCGTGCCGCACAGAAGGACACGTCCACCTGTCTGGCACTCTGGGCGACGACCTGACGCGGCAGCACGCTTCGCGAAGCCCGCAGACGCCCCTTCCGTTTTATAGATCGTCTCTCCGAGTTTCGGTTTAAGTTTCCCTCAAGGTCACAGGCCACTCCTAGCAGAGCCAGGCTCCCAGCCGGGGCCTCCTGATGGCAGACTCTGTCCTCTCTGGCCCTTCAGTGACAGCCCCCACAGTCCAGAGAGGGAGGAGGAGGCCAGGGCTTGAGGGGAGGACGGCCTGGACTAGAGACAGAGAGGTGTGTGTGGGGGGAGGGGGGAGGGACAGAGGTGAGAGACACACAGAAAGAGAGAGGGACACACAGACAGAGAGAGAGACAGAGAGAGGGGGAGAGAAAGGGAGAGTGAATGAACCCAGGCCCGAGGGAGAGCGGGGGGAGGGGGGTTAATGTATCTGCCTCTGATCTGAACGGACCTTGCACTCGATGGTTGTAATCCTAAACCTAATTTATAACTACGAAAAGTAGCCATTTTATAAAAGCTGACTGCCCACCGGACCATGAGAGAATTTAGACTGTTCCCAGTGGGTCCTGAACCACTTCCAACAATCAGGCACGCATCTGGGTAGTGAGCCTGTCAGGAAGGGACGAGGACACTGCCAGTCAGCAAAAGGGGCCCTGGGGCAGGGGCTCCGGGCTCCCCGTTGGAGCTGAGCATCACACCCCATCTCCACACCCACCTGTGGGGAGCCGGAGCTCTGAGCATGCCAAGAACGACTCAGGGAGAGAGGGACCTAAACCGTGCTCCGCACTGCTGGCGAGGACCCTGTCTCCCCGCGCAAACGGCACCACAGCGGGCACAAGGACACTGGGGAACAGAGCGTCTGCTGTTCTAGGGCTCAGGAAGGACAGGTCAGCAGAAGGGAAAGCAAAACAGGTACTTTAATGACAAAGTAAACAACAACAAAAACTTGCTCCTTAGAAATCGAAGATGAACAAGCACTAGGTTTTGGATGCGGCTCCAGAATGCCATCTCCACCCCTGTGGTTTTGGTCCCTTAAAAGCCAAAGTTTCCAGTTACTTCAGTGATTCTTCCCACATCTGAATGCGCTCCAATTTCCCACGGACAAACATCAGGCAGACCGAGGGTCTTCGGACACTCTGCCGCCGCCGCCACCGCCACCACTGCTTTCGGCATGAAACTTCACTCAGGTCCGAGGGAACCTGTGTTTCTCCCTCCAGTGGCACTTTCATCTGGCCTGCACTGGGTTTTTCTCCTAGGACACAGCAGCGTCATCTCTATGAACTGTGTCATCACCCAGCTGCTGCAATAAGCCCACCGGCAGCTCTACCCCGACCCCTTCAGGGGACGCGCTGGGAAAGGTGCTCCGCTGCAGATGGCTCACACCCCTCCCCACCCAGGGGGGCTGGAACAGCTGCTTCCTGTCCACGACCCCAAACCCGGGTCCTGCCCTCCAACTGCAGCGCCGGCTCTGCAAACAGCGCATCGTCTGCTGGAGACACCCACTTGTTCAAACACTTCCATCAAAGTTCTGGGTGATCCAAAAAGTACAAGCATCCTGATTCTGGGTTTAGAAGAATGTTTCTATTTGACAAAGGTGCCAAAAAATTCAGTGGAGGAAAAAAACAGCCTTTTTAGCAGATGGTATGAGAACAACTGGACGTCCACACACAGAAGAAGCTGGACCCTTACCTCACACAGTAGACAAACTTAATTCAAAATGGATCAAAGCCCTAAATGTGAGAGCTAAAACTGTACGACTTCTAAGCTAAAAACGGAGTAAATCTTTGCGTCCTTAAGTCAGGCAACTGAATCTTAGAAACCAGAAGTACAACAAGAGACGAAACATAAACTGGACTCCGTCCAGATGAGAACTTCTGTGCTTCGGAGGACACCAGCAAGAAAGGGAAGACACAGAACAGGAGAGAATGGCTGAAATTGTGTGACTGACAAGGAACTTTATACGGAATCCACAAATACCTCTTATAATTCAGTGATAAAAAGGAACATGACTCAATCCAAAAATAAGCAAAGGAAATGAACAGACATTTTTCCAAAGAAGATAGACAAATGGCCAATAAGCAATGAAAAGATTCTCAACATCATTAGTCGGTAGGGAAATGAAAACCAAAACCATAAGATACCAATTCATGCAGACTAGATGCAATCGAGAAGAAACTAACAAGTGTTGGCAAGGGTGTGGACAAACTGGATGGAACCTCAGACACTGCCAACAGTCCGGCAGGTCTGCAGAGTTACCTTGGGACTCAGCAGTTCCACTTCTGGGGACGTGAGCAAGAGAAATGAAAACAAGCGTCCACACGAAAACGTGTACATGAACAACCTGAGCAACAGTATCCACACGAACCAAACGGGAAAATCTCCAAATGTCCAACTGATGAATGTGGTCCAGCCACGCGACAGAAGGGAATTAGGCACTAAAAAGAAATGAAACACTGATACGAGCTGCAACACAGATGAACCCCGAAAGTGCCATGTTAAGTGAAGTAAGTCATTCACAAAAAACATGCTGTATGATTTTGTTTACAGGAAATCTTCAGAACAGGAAAATCTATTCAGGCAGAAAGTCCATTGGGGGTGCCTAGGGCTGGGGCAGGGGTGGGCAGGGATGAGATGGGACTAATGGGTGTGGGGGTTTCCTTAAGGGGCATGAAAATGCTCCACAGCTAGACTGTGGTGATGGCTGCACAACCTTCTAACACACTGGAAAACATTCAACTGCATAATTTAAATGGGTGAATCGTATGGCCTGTCGATCATTCCTCAATGAAGTTATCTCTAAAAAAGAACAAGCACGAGAAAAATGTAAACGAACCTATCGATATCAATGAAGTACACAAAATGACACTATTTGCAACCTATTAATTTCGAGATGCAAGTAAAAACCTACGCATTTGAGAAAAATAAGATTGAAAGAGTAAAAACTGAAGCAAAATTTGTTTTTAAGGGTTCAGGGGCCCTGCCCTTCCGACACGAGATGCTGAAATCGAACAGAACTTGATGCGTGCCTGTTCCTTCCCCGGCCAGGCCGCATGCGCCCTGCCCAAGGTCACCTTCCCCGGCAGAACGGCCTGCACACAGCTTCCCCTGAACCCGGCCTCCGACGGAAGGGCACGCGCGACAGACCTGTGTCTAATTCGTGAGGAGCCCCCAGAACAGTGCTGGCTGCTGCTGCACGCGTGCGACCACCCCAGGCTCAGCAGTGACGCCAAGAACGTCTGCAAGGGGAGCACGGACCAAAACCTCAAAGAATTCAGCGTGTGTCACTGGTGACGCTTCATCAAACGTAGCTGAGAGGTAGGGAGGTGGCGATCACTTTTATACTGCATAGGCAGTTCGCCAGAACTGACTGGCGGGGGGACGCCATCCGTCACAGCTCCGAGCGAGCTGCAGTGAGGGGTCCGCGGGCTGACAGCACCCCGTGATGGGGGGGGCCCTAATGGTGCTGCTCCAGGCTGCAGGCAAAGTTACTTTCCAGGATAAAGTGTTCCATTTTTAAGGAAAGCAAGGTCATTTATCAATATTGATTAAAAATGTTTAAAGCATAAACAGGACTTGTTTCCCAATAAATGAAGCTAAAAACATGAGATGCTATATTTAAAACAAAACAGAACATAAGACTGAAAGGTACGGCGAAGGAGAAAGGCTTCGAAGGGGCTCTGCGGCCCAAACGAAGACGGAGCACCGAGGTCTTCGTCTTCTTTGGCTTCATCTATCCCGGATGAGGCGCTGGGGAAGCTGGCGACCCAGAAATGCCAACTAATGTAGACAAAAACGACAAAAGCCAGTTCCTTCTGGCCAGAGCACCAGCAAGCAGGGCAGCTTAGCAGGACAGAACATTTTTAGACAATAACTGCCCTACTGCGGTCAGCCCCTCAGAAAACACTGTGGCCCACCCCCATCCCACCTGGTAATGTCACAGGGGATAAGGGAGTTCTGTCACCACTAGGTGACGATGAGCCCTCCCCCCACCCCAACAATACCCGCGGAGGCCAGGAGGAACGCCTGGATCCCAACCCCGCCCAGCAGAAACAAGGCAGCACCTGCTCCGTCCCAGGCAGGGCGGGATCACAAAGGCCCTCCGTGGAACTTACAGCCACGCAGCAGATACCGAGGAGGCTGGGTGGGGAGCCGGGAGTCCGCCTCCGGCTCAGCAGTGGCCAGGGAGCACCACCTGTACTCCATCAGTGTCGGAGGAAGCCTGATCTGCTCAGAGATTTAAATAAGATCCAGTCCTGTAACATTACACCAAATGTCCTGGTTGCAATCAAAGGTCACTTACCACATCAAGAACCAAGGGGATATCAATGAAACCGAAAAAAGACAATATACGGACACCAACACCAAGGCCACACAGATGCCAGAATCACCTGGCAGAGATTTTAAAGCAGTCAACATCAAAATGCTTCCATAAGTAACTATAAACATACTTGAATCAACAACAAAAAAGCCTCAGC